TGATAATTCCAGGAGAATAATCAAGGCGCTGGCATAGCAATATTTCGATACAACTTTTGCGCTATCAGCTGATGAAGAAAGTTGGACAGCAGCATGAATGTGAAGGGGCGCTGCCCTATTGTATCTGGAGATGGTTTTTCTTAATTTGATCTTTGATCTCTATATATAATTTCTTAATTTGATCTTTGATCTCTATATATAAATCGGTCAGAAGTGGTTCATTGGTGGTTAGTGGCGGGTTAATGGCCCAGGCATGGATGGGTTGGAATGGGAAGGTGGGGGAGAAGTGGGTGGAGACTTGGGTGTGGGCGTTGCCAAAAGTGGGCGGAGGTAGCAAATTTCGAAAAAATCCACATTTCTATAAAATCTATCCACCGTAGTCCTACAGAAAGAAGCTATCTCGCTAATCAGATGTGTTTTTTGTAATCAATGGGTCGGATAACATCTATGGTTTGATTTTCTAAGGAACTAGTAGCACTTGATTTTTTCTCGCTCCTCACTCTTGGCCTAGGCGCAAGATTTGGTTCAAAATATTAAGGTTCTCGGATTGACCGGAAACTTCGCTCATAGTGGTTTTTGGTCCCGATCTTTACGAAAATCCTATTTATTTTGCACTAGAGAGTCTTAAAGTAAAGCTGAAGTGGGATAGAAGTGGCTCAACTCACCAAAATCGCAAATTCGCCTGCACTTTTTGCCTATCTATTGCGGAAATTGTCTGCATATTTTTGTGAATTCAAAACTATGTAAACACCTCTACCGGACCATGCTTAGCGCAAATCTTTATCTGCATTGTTCGTCAGATTATGATGTTACAAAATCGCCTTCTCATGAATTGTCTTTCAAATTCGAAAGTAGTGTAATTTGGCAGATATTCCTATCCTACAATGTGCAACCTGCAACAAAACGAAATAAGAAATGTTGTTAAACGTCGAGTAATACATGTAAGCGGATATTATAAGATTTGCTTCATACATGCATTCGAACATATGACATTGTCATAACTGTGGAAAAGCTTATAGATCACTTCAGCACGAAGGTTTAAGAGAAAAAATTCAAAGCCGTTTCTAATGTTCACCTGCTAGCAGCAGATGAGAAAATTACTGTTTTATCATTTTATCAGCCAGATGCAATACCATTCTCATAACGTGCGAAATTTCCGTGAATGTCGCGAAATTCCGAAAATTCCGCGAAATTTCCGGAATTTCGCGAAACTTCGCAACATTCCCGGAATTTCGCGAAATTCCGGAAAGTTCGCGGAAATTTCGGAATTTCGCGACATTCACGGAAATTTTGCACGTTATGAGAGTGGTATTGTAGTTAGAACCGAATATTTTCGAATATTCGTATTCGAGTGGTCGATTACTCAGAAAAGCGCATTTATTTGATTATTCGAATAGTCGAATGAATGAAAAAGGCCTTTATTCAAATACTTGTTTTCGGACGAATCGAGAAAACAACTTAATCGAAATTTTAGCCAAATATTCAAATATTCGAGTAAGATTTCAAATAAGTTGTCGATTCGCTGGATAAAGTCAATGAAAAACAAGTGAAACCATGATCAGAAGATCAGAAATACGGTGGTTAGGCGGGTATTGAATCTAAGAAACTCGACATCTGGCCTTCATATTTTGAAGCTTGTTCTATAATCAATTGCCTACACAGGTATTCTGTCTATCTGGTTTGTTCTTGAAATATGAGAGAGTTTATTGTTTTGTTTTAGCGATGTGCCCGGGGAGCAGGACGTTTTGTGTCGCTTGATCGAGTCAAATTGCTAAGAATGGTGAACGGCGTCTTCGCGGAAAGCCCAAGGTTTAATGATGGTGCGTTTAAAGAAAGTGGAAGAGAAGCTTGAGGTTGGCTTCTGAACTTATTCTGTTGTAGCAAATAAATCTATGTTCAGAAATTGAGCATAGCCGCCCCACTTCAGCAAAAACATGATCACCGAGAAAATGGCACCGGAAAAAGTAAATGAAACAATCATTGACAGCTCCGATGATGAACTTGTGGAGACAATGACAATGCCCAGAACAAATAAAGCATCATGGTCGAGTGCTCCACCGCCATCAATGTCAATGCCAGCGCCGTCGGTACGCCAACCATTGCATGAATGCCAGGTCGAGGTGAGCAGCAGCGAGCCAATGAAGAAGAGGAGAAGGCGTCAGAGTGCCACAAGAAATAATTGATTGAAACCAGTTGTTCTACAGAGAAATGGCCAAAAACACGGATTAAGATATAATTTGCAGATCCGTGAATAGCATCTGCTTTCGCGGCTGCAGTCGCAGCCACCGTGCTGTGTTTGTTCATGAAGCGTAAAGATAAACTACGGACATCCTTCAAATGTCATCACCACCAGCACTAGGCAAGCACATGTGAATTGACGTGATGCGACACCAGGTTTTTTCTGCAGCTATAGTATGTGATCAAACGAGTAAATGAGTTGTAGGCTGGTACCTTGATCATCAGAGTTGCACAATTTGAGCAGGTGTTTTTGCGTCACAACCACTTAATAAATCAGCAAAACGTTGACTATCTTGATTAGATAAGCAACTGCCCTATGTCTTTTGTCGAGCTACCAAGATTTGTACGTTTTATGAGAAACTCAAAAGGAATAGAAAGGAGAATATCTGTTATGGGTCATTGCATGGTATCTCGAAAGAACGAATTTGATGGGACGATCCGCAGATAAGCAAGGTGTGAAGTTTTCCAAGAAAGTATCTGATATGCAACGCAACGCAGAATCTGCTGTCTAATCATCCCAAAACAAAAACTACTTCAAATCTGCTGCACTACATCAGAAGAAAGCGCAAAATGGAAGTGGAGAGTTTTGAGTGGCAAGCAAGTCTGGAAAAAACGAATGTAAGAAACATTGATGGATAGTCTAGGGCATGTTCAAAAGGAGAGTGCAAAACAGCAAAAGAGAATACTGATCATAAACTGTGGGTTTTCTTACAAAAGCGTCGCCACAGCTGCACATTATGCAGTTTCCATCCTTTGCGGAACTTTTCTAATTAGCTCACCTGTCATACGCTGCCCAGAAGTAAAGTTTGTTGAGGGTGATGTTATGAAAAGTCGATGCAGTGTTATCTGCGGATGTGCAGCAGTCACTGTCTGTGGATGATTGTCGAAAAATGTGTCCTGCGCATTACGATAATTGGGCACGCTGTAAGAAGGGACTTCGGAAAGAGCTGACGTTTTGTTGAACTGTGCTCTGCTAGAGGAAAAAAGAAATTATACTTTCTTTGTCTAGTAACACCTGAATTCATAAAATTGAAAGTAATGGAGACAGAATTGGAATTGACATAAGCGAATGTCTGGCGTTTCTGTTTCCTTTTGCCGCCTGTAGTCGTCCTATACATCAGCGTTCATAGTTGCGCACGCATCATTGATTTGTCCATAGCGGCAACCCTCACTCCCTTGTGTGCGGATATTATCAGAAAAGTGAAATGTGGATGTCAAAGCACCGAAGCTGAGAAGTGAAAGATTTCCAAAGATTTCAGAAGGTAGTTTTGAAATAACGCCGGGATCTTTGAAGTGTTCTTCGTCTTTGAATAGCGACTTTCCGAGTGTTGTTCCGACAAATGATGCCGACTTCTTCTACATGCTTTATAATGATTTCCTGGCCGCAATCAGTAATTTTGGTCTTCTGATACCATACTTTCAAGATGCCAGCAAGAAAAAAAGTTCACTGTCAACTTGTGGCATGCTGTTATCAAAAAATGGAGAAGTCGGAAACGATGAATTGCGAGGTAGCAACTATGCAATCTGCCTGACTTTTGCGATATAGGCGTGTCGCCAATCGTCTTGCTTTTCGATCTTCATTCTAAGAGGAAGACTTTTGATTCGAGTCAAGAAGTAAATATCTACTCGTGTTCCACAGTGATAACGGATAATGCAACATTCCGGGATCTTAGCAGCTGCTCAAAGGGAATGATTGCAGTTTGGCGACAAATCGCATACTAAAACATAGATGCTATTTGCTTCTAGTCAAATTGCAAGTTAATTTTTAGTAATTAGCGAATTAATGAGCTTTTGCATCGCATGCAATGAGATGATACGAAATGAGACGATGTAAGACGTTCTACAAACCCTGGAAATCGCTGACACCTGAGATTCGAATATTTTGAGCTCTCCGTATTTTTTTTAGTGGAACTACTCTCCTCGCATGCCACAGCAGTTTGAGGATGACGAAGGTTTGTGTGAAACCCCTTTCTTCGGTCCTTTCATTCCGTTCGCACGGAGTCTCCTGGCGGTTTCGTCGGTATTGGGTTATTATTCCACTCTTTGTTTGTCCTTCATAGATAAATAAATAACTTACACATCTCCCAAAAAATATGGCAATCAGCTCAAAAATTTTTTTGTTTTAGATTTTTTTTTGTTGGATAATGTCAGCCACATTTCGTCAGCCACTTATAATGATGTTTCTGGAATTACAAAATTATTCATAGTGGTTTTGCTTATCTTTTTACATTCAGCTAATTTTTCATCTGCTGAGCGTGAATTTTATAAACTTCATGTGATTGTGCGCCAAGTGCAGGTACTACCTAAATTGCTTACGGTATTCACCTTCGATGACTGCGACCTAATGCAAATGAAAGCATGAAAAAAAATTAATTGAGCTTTGCATATGCAGAAGGGCAATCTTACTGTATATTTGATAAGCTATCTTGTCCAGACCGTGGCTATTCTGTTCACACTATATTATTCAATTTTCATGGCTGTTGATGCTGAAACGTCTCTGTAGCTGACCTTGTGCTTTCATACAGCTGCTATGTCACTTCCAACAAGGGAATGTTTCGTGGGACATGTAGTTGTCAAGAAGAAAAGCTTCTTTTAAGTCAAAACTCGCATAACAAGGGCTTCTGCATCCATTATTATGAGCTTTCGCTCTCTTTCCATCTACAATCCCGTGCATTCTAGGAAGTCTATGTAGATTTGATTCTACCTTTGCGGCATTCACCAAACAAGGCGCTTGTAGTGGGCAATTTTTTCCACTATTTCAGCTACTTATATGGCAATCGAAATATGTCTACATTCGGACTAGGCTGGGAATTTCGATTGACAGCGGCACTTTGCGTAACAGAAGCCACCGTGACAGTGTGAATCCGGCCTTTGCGTCGAAGAGTCTTCACAAATTCTCTTCGGAAATCAGTGGAGAAGAAGAACAACGCATATGGTGGAACGCTAGCCATAAGGTCGTTGATCCAGAAGTACTAAACAAGGGAACCTATTGTAGTTGCGAATGCTACCCTGTCTTACCTGCATCTCCACCATATCTATAGTGTCTTGATCCGCGCTACTTTTGACAAAGGCTTTGACAATTCTCTGGGTACACATGAGCAAACTGAGGAAAAAGCTGAGAATGGCGTAGAGACTAGTCGTCTGCAATAAAAACAAAATGAACTTTGAAATTTCGCCGCCTCTATGTGTGCGCTGGTGACTGAGAGAAATACCAAGTTCAAATCAAAAAATCTGAAGAAAGTGATATTTTTTGCGTTTCGGGCTATTCTTATTTCTCACTTTTGGGCCCTGCAATCCATCAAGTGCATTATTTGGGACCACTATGGTCTTCCGTATAATCAACTTGGCGCAGGAATTTTTTTTATAAAGATCCGATTTTTGGAGGACTTGAAAATTTTGATGTTTGGCTCCAAATTTCACTTCGAACTGCGACTTAAAGGCAGCGTCCAGGCAGAATCTCGACTTCTAATTTTTTTGCATTACCTAAATCTTTTCGTGGCGCTGAATCCAAATACGGCACTCAAAATGTGTGATTTCCTCAAAAAACCCCGTTGAGACAATTTTTGAGGACAGTGGACGAGTGCTCCTAATTCTATCCTTGTCGAAAACAAGTATCAACAGATAAACACTATCTGTTCGATTGTATTTACCTCGTGAAAACACGTCAAGGGCTGGAGAGAGTACCATTAAGGGGTGGGCCGTGCGAGGGAGTGGGCGTGGTCCTTGAGGCTCGGCGTTTTCTGCGCCGATTTTCTTTGAATAGGGTGTTTGAAAGTAAGATTTGCGCGATAGTTCTGGAGTTAGTCAGAAGAAACAGAAATGATTTCAATTATTTCAGAAATGGAAATCAGCTGGATTCTTCTAGTATATTTTTGAGTGTTACTGATAATATTGTTGTCCCGGAAGTATAAAAACTGATAATATTGTTGTCCCTGAGTGTTACTGATAATATTGTTGTCCTCGGCTTCTTTGATTGGTCATTAAAGATCAAAGAACGCTGAGCAATGAACCACTCGATTTAGAATTTATGCTCTTTCTAACAGCTACATTTTCTCCCTGATCTATGCAGTCTTTGCGATGTTATCGTCATAACTCTTTGATCAGCTTAACAGTTGAAAAAGTTTGTTGTAATTTTTTGAAAAGCTGTAATAGTCATTGAGTAGAGTAAACCTTTGGCTACATCATATTTACTTTAGGTTCGTAGATCAGGTTCGAGATGGAAAAAACCTGTGCTTTTCGCGCTCCAGCGCATAGGAATAGCGAAAATTACAATAAGGTGATTTTTCAAAGCAATAAACTCTGTTGTTTTACAAAAAATAATGGTAAATAAAAATCAAGTTTTAGATCGCGGATCTTGTATGCTTTCCTATTTTATTGCACTCGCATGTTTCATGACTTTACATCGATGCCTCCAAAGAAATGATTTTTCAAAGGTCTTAGCACTAGATCAGATGATTACAAAAACATTTCCAACATAGTTCAGAGCATTTGCTATATTTAATATCTACCAGTCTTATTCGAAAGTCGAAAATAAAATTTTTGGAAATTAGCCAAACTTTTAGCAGATAGAAATGATTGAAGATCTCAACAATTATCTAAAAGCTTTCAGGAGATTATGATTGGAAATTATAACTACCAAAAGGGAAGGAAAAGCTGCATCGAGCTTATTCAAAAACGTGTTGAGTCCTTTATTGTAGGAATTTTATAGTCGTGTGGAAAAATCGACAAAATTTTCGGGACAATCTCATATTTCTGCAAAAATCTTGGAAAGCATCCCGAGAGTTTTCGGGGGCTGGTTAACCCCTGCTCTCTTATTAGAAGACTCTGTTGATTCCCCCATCTCCCAAAAAAAATTCTGGGACCGCCACTGCCTTAGGTGATTTTGGGAAGTCTTTTGGAATTTTTGGAATTAGGCAGACTCAAAAAACGCTCTCTCAATCATGCAGCAACCATCAATATCGTGGAGGAGGGCTGAGATACAGATGCCGCTTCGTGTGCGAGAGGCTACCCCCAACTTTTGTTTGCCAACAAAGAAAAGCCTATCTTACCTTCTCGTGGTATGCACTTCCGCTCCTAGTTTTCGATAAGTGATGGAACTGACATAAAATGGCTGTATACATAGTGGAACTGAGAACGGCATAAATAAGCGCAACTGTAGCATGTACATATATATTCATCTAAATAAGTACATTTGATTCACATATCCTACGGGGGTATAGTTTTCTTTGTGATAATGCACTGAATAATCAAAATCCCATGCTGTTTTTTGGAATGTAAAATTACATTGCAAATAGCTTGCACCATAATCAGGATAGCAAAATAATAACGGCAAGTTCACTAGGTGTTATTGGAAACTTTTCAATAAGAAGAGACTACATTGAGTAATACATCCAAGATCGTTATTCTCAGGGTCAACCCTGGGTGTGGCACGGCACACCCGGGGGGAGGGGTATTGAGGAGTCAAAACAGGAAGGAGTTCGTAATCGAATAATACTGATAAAAGTGATAACATGTTATTCGTGAGCAGTTTGCTAGATAACCCCACTATGCGAATTACAAGCACATGAATCTTGACTCGCTATACCTACCGTAGTATGATAAAGAAACCCTATAGCAGTACTACATCTACAATTAGCATGTCAAATAAGCCCTAAGGACGAAGTTGGGCGAGTTCTGAAATTCCCAGATAATGGGCCATATGAGTGAGGTGGTCATTTCGAACATGTTTAAAGGCAGTGTCCGGGGTAAACCTAACGATTAGTGTCGATCCTGAATGTAGGCCCCAGAAAAGGGGCATCTGTGTTGGTCCGATCTTCTAACGTTGTCTCTGAATGGAAAGGGGCCTGGAAGTCCTTGGCTGGGCGGACTGATATAAGACTCCGCCCATCCACAGTCTGTCTCTCGACGCGTACTGACATGGCAGTGAACAGAAGCTGCACACTGCTGCAACTGCCCTCCAAGACAGGGTCCCCAGGAATCGGATTTTCTGTAAATTTTGGAGAGTTTGGAGTTTGAAACTGTAATCATGGCCGAGGAAAGCCCCAGGATGATGAAAACATGAAGGCGAAATTCTGGGTGGACGCTGCCTTTAATTTTGTTTCAAAGATGAAGTAGCCACATCTTCTTGCACTCAGTACAAAGCAGTTTCGCCCACCTCAAATTACCGCTTCAATAGATCTCCAATGTAGAATTAGAAGCCAACCAAAATCTCGTTTTTTCCATTTTTCGCTTTCAACTGCTGTACTTTCACTAGCTGTTAATCAGAGCAAAGAAGACGAGTCAAGCTCAAATTAATTCTGTGAAATCTTTGAGCTATTGAAACATAAAAATACTACACCCTAAATACGCCTTTGACATAGTTAATTAGGTGTGGCACAACCCCAAAAAAGGTTTGGTAGCTACAGCTTTTTTGGGGTTGTACCACACCCTATTAACTATGTCAAAAACATTTTTAGCAAGTAGTATTTATATGTTTCGATGTCTAAAGCTCGTAGATTTCACAGAATTAATCTGAGCCTGGCTCGTCTTCTTTGCTCTGAGTAATAGTTGGTGAAAGCACAACCACTAAAGGCGAAAAATGGAACGAGATTTGGTTGGCATCTAATTTCACAGTTCGAAGGTCTTTTGAAGCGGAATTTCTGTGGTGAGCAAAGAATGGGTGCTGCTTTGTAATGAGTGCAAAAAGATATAGCTAATTATGTTTTAATTGAAGTTAATCATATTCGAAAATGACCACCTCACTGAGGTGGCCCAGTATCTGGGACAGGGCTCGGCACGAGCTGTCACCAGGGAAATTTCAAGACGAAGTCCCGTTTGACCTGTTTTGAAAACTCGTCATCATTTTTATATTATGTAAGAAATGTAGTAGTGTTTCCATGCATTTCTGATTTCATGAAAGAACTTTTCACAGCTTTCTGAGCTTTTTAAGTGGTCGAATCACATCTTGAGAAGCAGAAAAAGCCGATTTTTCGACTGCGGAGCGGACCGAGTGGTTTTCAAATTGCTATAAAACGCTGGAAAGAGAACATTATAAAACTGTTTCTTCTCCGTATGTAATCTTTTACAGTGTAGATACATTTTATGTAGAAAAGTATGAAAACTTATGTGAGCAAAGTGATTTTTCGACTGCGGAGCGGACCGAGTGGTTTTCAAATTGCTATAAAACGCTGAAAAGAGAACATTATGAAACTGTTTCTTCTCCGTATGTAATCTTTTACAGTGTAGATACATTTTATGTAAAAAAGTATGAAAACTTATGTGAGCAAAGCAGCTCGCAGCTTAGCTGGCACCCAGCTGGCACGGTGCCAGCTAATTCAGAAAAAAGTTCGGCACAGCTTTCATTCACATAAGTTTTCATACATTTTTTGGCCCGTAGTTCCGGTCCACCAACGCGCATGCACACACCAAATTTGGTGTCATACTATTGCGTTCTGGCTGAAAACAACGCCTTTGTTTGTTGATGGACAGCTTGCCAATGGCATGCCGGTGGCATGCCGGCGGCATTTTTGCGGCAGTTCTCCGCCTCGGCCCTGTAGAAACGATATCCCCTTTGTTTTCCCCCCTAAAAACGATATCCAGCTTGACCCGGTGCCAGCTGTGCTGAGCCCTGATCTGGGAATTTCAGAATTCGTCCAAATTTCGTCCACAGGGGTTATTTCACGTGCTAATTATGAACATATTAGTCCCCATTATGCTTGTAGGCCTTTAAGCTATGCCTATCTTAGGTACGCAGCAGTTTCGTACCCAGGATTTTGGCTCGGGGGGGGGGGCGACAAAATTTTTTTTCTAAAGAAGGTGCGTGGCGTTAGCCACGCACTCCGAAAAAATTATTGGAGTGCTTCTCAAAACTTTTGCGGGTCCCCGACCCCTAAAATCTGGAAAAAGGGGGCGTGGCGTTAGCCACGCCCCCGAAAAAAATTTTTTTAACAAGGCTAACTTGATTTTTTAAAAATTCTTAAAAATTATTCTAATTATTTACAAAAATAAACAAGTCACTTGCACATTTTTATAACCCATATAAGTAACTTTCAAAAATTTCGGGACCCATTCTCGGGGGGGGGCGCGCCCCTCCCGCCCCCCTTCGGTACGCCACTGAT